GTAAGGCCAGGAGCCCCTAGTAGCGTCCTTGCTCCTAGTAGCGATGCTCTTTGCTCCTAGTAGCTTCCTATGTACCTACTCCGTTCCAAATGTCACTTCGCTTGACCCATGGAACCTTCGACCTCGTTCCATGCGTTGAGGTCTTCCTGAGTTGCAGGCGAGGCCGGCACCTCTGTGACGGAACCTCAGCCCACCAAGGTGCAAGCGTGTGGAGGCACAAAAGCATGCATCTGTATGGGCTTCAAGGGTATGCCGAAACAGGCATGCCAACAACGAAAGCACAGTGCTGTTTCAGCACGAGTTTTTGCTATAGATGGCAACAGGCAACAGGTTCACACTTGCGATGCCAACAATGACTCTAGAAAACGCACAGCTGAGCTTCGTTCTCAGGGTGTGGTGAAGAATTGGCAAGCCAAAGGCCAACGTCTTGCCACTCCTGGACAAACAAAATCAAAGTGCTTGTCTTGCCTTTGCAAAATCAGTGCCTTCATCATTTGGTCCAGTTCCCCACTCCCAGCTCTCCCTGTTTCAGCAGCGCCCACGACATCTTTTCGCTGACGTAGGGCTGGTAGCAAGCAGCGCGCCTAACAGAATCATTCAAGGGTTCTTTTTGGAGAAGCTCAGGCGGTTGCAAAGCCCTTTCTGAAGTGCAGGGACTCTTTTGGCATGAGAAGCAAGCCATAGAGGGCAGGCAACAGAGAAAGCCAGGTGTTTCTGGCCACCCATCACCCAACTTCCCATTTTAAAAAGTGCCAAGAACTCTATATGTGACTATGTACGGCACGCGTTTGCAAGCCGCCTTAACAGGATTCCAAGAACTCCTAGCCCCCAGCGAAAGAACACAACTTCAAACATACACAGTTTATCACAGCTGTGCTTTTTGTATTTGGTTTGAACCTGTCAAAACAGTGCCTCACAATTTGACCTGTCAAGAGAACGTAGGAGTGTCAGCGCAGTAACACAGAGTCATCAAGCAGGGAAAGTGGACGATAAAGCCTGGAAGGTCAACCAGGCTCAGTCAGACAATCTGCTTCCGACGGACTCCCTTCTTGCAGTACTTGGACTGTGGACATCTGACCTCTTTGCAGTGACCAGCTGCTTAATCTCCTTGGTGTTGGGAGACAGGTCGATAGAATTACAGTACGTACATCTTGTGAGCGACGCATTGTCAGGGTGTTTCAAGCACGAAGTTTCATCTTCCGGCAGCAACTTGGCTACACATGTGTTCCTGTTCCAATACCAACAAATATAAGTAAATTAACCAACGTCTACCGTTCTTGGATCTCCAAGCCCTGGGCTACAGCTGGCAGAGTCAACCACTTCCTTGGATCTTCTTGACATTTTTTTCAAAGATGTTGACGTGTCTTCTTCAGAAACGTGTTTCTGCAGCAAGGACACTTTTGCCTTGGATGTGTTGCCTTCGGCAATCCTGAGGCCAACATCAACAGCAAGGAACATGTTTCAACTTACTGGTTCAGACCATCTCGAACATGTACAGTATGATCCTTAAAGGAAGCAACAATCCTTGAAGATCAAAGCAATTGAGCCGAGTAGCGTGTCATGAAGCATCCGATTGAGCCGACTCTGCATGCTCAGACGTCTTTCAAAAAGCTGATTGGAAGCACGGCTGGAGGCAAGCTGACCTTTGACGTGGTGCGTTCACAAACTGATCCTAAACATACATGTTACATGTACATTATCATGTGCAACCAAAGAACTCTCCAGCTGGGCAATGTCAATGTCTCGTTGGACCTGGGATGTGTTGAAGCTAGCATTGGATGAGGAGAGTACTTCGGAGTGGTCTTCCAAAGACAGGTCACACTTTTGAATGTTTGAACGGAGAATTTAGGCTCACAAACGTATTGACCCCAAGTCACAGTCCCAAAGGTGATAGGCACACTTTTAGCTCACGCTTGAAGTAAGCAAGTAAGCCCAAATGAACACAAACGGCTGCAGTGAAACATACATCTATACACAGCTATGGCATGTACATGTAACTGGTGCTACATCTGATCACGCCTCCGAGTTTAACGTCTCTCAGAACTTAAGCGAGTCAGGGTTAGCACATGAGTGAATTAGCTGGTAGCCCTTCAGTACATCTTGGTCTTGAAGAAGTACCTGCTCTAGCTCAATTCAAGCTCTCAGTGTTAGTTCATGCTCACCTTCCAGGTAGTGGAAGTTCATGCCTGTCACGGCTGTGTTCATTTTCTCCTCGGTGACAGCTTTCGTCGGCCACCATTCGGTCGGCGCCTTCTTTCTTGAGACGAAACTCTTTCTTTGCTGTACGCTCTTGCACCCAGTGGTACTGAGCGTCAACATGTTTGGCTCGCCCCAAACCTCGACGGTTTCCCATGGCGATGCCAGCGGAAGCGTCCATTGTCACCTCTTTGCTGGGAAACAATCCCCCATCTTTGGCAGTTGATGCAATTCCAAGCGTCTGACATGCTCCAGAAACAAGTCCATGATACTCGGATTCACCACTGCTAAGGGAGACAACTCCTTGGCCTTTGCTGTAGGTAGTAAGACAGCATTTGTTGGCCATGAGCACCCCTCCTGACACACTCTTTCGTGTCCTTACGGAACCTGCATGGTCGGCGTCTGACCGCATGTTGAAGGGGTTGCAGGGTGCTTTGATTTGGAATCAGCCGTGCAACTCTTGGTCGATACCTGACATATCTTGCCAATCGCTTCAGCGTGTTCCAGTGCCTTGATGTTGGATTCTGTAGACCTTGTGCCAACAAGCGCGTTGCAGTTTGCAGATCAGGTCGATCTTGTGCCAAATACGCGGCTCTCATAGCAATAGATCTGTTTCGGCGCTCAACGGAACTTCTTCGCGTTGGCGTTCCTCTTGACTTGCCTTCGCCAATGGTGTCTTGACCTTGCCTGGTTGACCAATGCCTAACCACTTGATGATCAACTCTGCATGTCGTGGATCTGGTTCCCACCCAACGCCTTCGTTTGACCAAGTGACGATGCGATTCAACACCCTGATCTGTTGACTGGTGTTTGGTGATCCGGGTGGACTGAGAATGCCTCGTTCCACAACTTGCCATTCTTTGGCTGCTGAGGTATGAAACCAT